AGCTTCACCAGTTTCTAGAGGAGGAAGAGGAGGCCAGGATGGCTGCACTGACGGAGGAAGAGGAGCAGAAGAGTCAGATGATGAAGGAGAAGATGGAGGCTCTGAGCAGAGAGATAGCAGCTCTTTCAGACACAGTCAGAGCCACAGAGGACGAGCTGAGAGCTGAAGACGTCTCATTCCTGAACAACTACAAGGCTGCAGTGGAAAGAGTCCAGCAGCGCCCCCTGCTGGAGGATCCACAGCTGCTCTCAGGAGCTCTGATAGACGAGGCCAAACACCTGGGCAACCTGACCTTCAACATCTGGAACAAGATGAAGGACATGGTCTCCTACACTCCTGTGATTCTGGACCCAAACACTGCTGATCCAGAACTTATCCTGTCTGAAGATCTGACCAGTGTGAGAGGAGGAGAGAGACAGCAGCTTCCTGATAATCCAGAGAGGTTTGATGAATACTGGTCTGTTCTGGGTGTAGCAGTTGTGTACTCTCTCAGTTGCGTTGTGTTTAATTCAGGCACACTTGATATCTTATGGCTCCAACCAGACGTTTATTCATAGCACAGCATATAGCTAGACAGCTCATCACGGAGACGGCTTGCTTCAGACTAACTTATACATGTAAATAAAATGACATTTCAGTGCAATATACCTGGTAAAAGACAGAACAGCTTCAGTTACTCTCATAGACAACGTCGTGGTCACAAGCTCCGGAACACTGTCAAATTAAAGAGACAAATACTTAAGCTAGCTGTTGTTAGCATGTTACTAATGCTAAATGCTAAATCAGTTAAACTGCTAAACATTATGTTAAAACCATTTGCTCTAGAAATTATAAATTAAAACAATTATACGAACAAAAGGGGACTTATACAGAGATCTATATATATATATCAGATATCAGATATCGAATGAGATGTTTCACAACGGAGCTTGTCACAGATCAACCTACCACGGAGACGGCTTGCTTCAGACTAACGTTAGTTAAGGAAAAAGGCCGCACCACTAAAGTCTGCAAGCAGCCAGCAGAGGGCGCTAATGTTACACACAACACACTTGTCTCCGTGGGGAACTAATGATAACAAGTTGTAAATGATATTTAAAGGAGGAAATAATATGAAAATGATAAGGATTAGCAATAACTTAAATAATATAGTAATACTAGCAACCAATGGCCAGTGATGGCAAGTGGAATCATTAACTCTGTTACATGGGCTCTGAGGGATTTAACTCAGGGACTCACAGCTGGGATGTCGAGGTAGGAGACAGTACAGGCTGGGCACTGGGTGTATTAGCAGAGTCTGTCCAGAGGAAGGGAGACATAGAGTCTGGATTATGGATAATACAGTTCTATCAAGATAAATACTCAGCATATTCACCACCAGCTCCATTCACTGTTCTCAAAGTGCAGAAAAAGCTCCAGAGGATCAGAGTGAATCTGGACTGGAACAGAGGAAAGCTGTCGTTCTCTGATCTTGATACTAACACACACATACACACCTTCACACACACTTTCACTGAGAGGATGTTTCCATTCATTGACACTGGAGATAAAATAAAGATATCACCACTGAAGGTCTGTGTGACAAAACAACAGGTCTGATAGAGACTTTAGTCTGAAGGTGGTGATTAGTAAACAACTCTTCACTTCTTAAAAGTAAATATGAGTCTATCTATTGATGTAGATTGTGTACATGAGAAAACAAATGATGAATTCAGTTTAAACTTTATTGATCTCTGTCTGTCAGATATTTGCAGCAGCAAACAGTAACAGGAAATAAAGGGTGAAAGAAGAGTAGAGCAGAATAATGAGGTTAACATTCAGTAAAACTGAAAAGTAAAACCTGAGTCTTCAGAGCTGCTTTAACTTCCTGTCTGTTCAACTGAACTTCCTGCTTGATTATCAAAATAAGACAAAAATCAAGTGACCACATGAAATGAATCTGTGGTTTTAAGTTGCTCTCAATGTTTCACACAGTTCCTACAACAAATTACAGGAAGATAGAAATAGACATAACTAGATCAATTAAACACTTAACTATAATGTACATACAACCTGCTAGAATAGACAAGTAAATAAATATTGTGGCAGAAAATTGTTATTGTGTCTTGAAATATATTTGTGTAAAATCAATCATCCATAATTTGAAATGTATCCATGTATATTCACATTCATACTGTGATATTGGCCTGTATCATTGTCATATGTTATTCACGTCACTGAGACAGGGAGTCTAGCATAGCGGCCTTGGAGCCCGGGTGAAGATAGAGGGGGGATGATGCAGATACACCAGCAGGGCAAGATTTGGAATGCAGGGGAAGAACGGGATCCGGTCACTATGACCTGCTGCCAGAGACGACGTCAGGAGAAGACGAGTGGGGAAGAACACTGTGGTTAATCAAAAAGAAAAAACCTCTGTTGGGACTTGTCCGAGGTACACAGTGTAACTTGTCTGGGTCGCAGGGACAGAGGAGGAGGACATCTCTGAAGGGGGGGTGAAGACTTTGGTAGAATCGTGGTATCAAGAAATGTACAGTGCTATTGTGAAGTTAGTTGACTCTGGACAGCTCGGTTTACTTGTACTCTGTGTGATACAAATAAACCTGCGTGAACTGAAGAAAATCCAATCTCTCTTGTGTTCTGTGGGTGTTCGTAAGGTGTTAAGTTTGAACAAAAGTCATAAAGTCAATGAAGCTGATCATGGACATGGGAAAAATACCACAACAATATATTTATATAAAACAGTATAAAATGTCTAAATAAAAAGTGTTTCTGAAAATATTAAGTAAGAATGCAAAGCTCAACTTGGACAGAAGTTGGTTGGAAGTTGAGGATGACTTTTATAAAACACCAAAGAATCCAACAATGACAGCAAATCTCATCCTCTCTGTTGGATGTGTCTTAATAGGGGATGATTCACACTTTTTTTGTCTATGTTAAACTTCAAGTTTATTGGGGAAATGTAAAAATGGTCCACCCTGTGGATCCACCATCCGCAGGGACAAGCATTGGGGTCGGGTGCAATGCAGACCGGGCGGCGGGTCAGACGGGAGGCCTGGGCGAGCCGATCGCCGGCAGCATAGACTAGCTCTAGGGACGTGGAACGTCACCTCGCTAGCGGGGAAAGAGCCAGAGCTGGTGCAGGAGGTGGAGCGATACCAGCTAGATATAGTTGGACTCACCTCCACACACAGCGCAGGCTCTGGATCCAAGCTCCTGGAGAGAGGTTGGACTTTGTTCTTTTCCGGAGTTGCCCAGGGTGAGAGGCGCCGGGTGGGAGTGGGGATACTCACGAGCCCCCGGCTGAGCGCCGCTGTGTTGGAGTTCTCCCCGGAGAATGAGAGGGTCGCCTCCATGCGCCTATGGGTTGCGGGGAGCAAGGCTCGGACTGTGGTTTGTGCTTACGCACCAAACAGCAGTTCAGAGTATCCGGCCTTCTTGGAGTCGGTGGGAGGGGTCCTGGAAAGGGCGCCGCCTGCCGACTCCATAGTTCTCCTGGGGGACTTCAACACTCACGTGGGCAATGACGGAGAAACCTGGCGGGGGGTGATTGGGAGG